TGGTGCTGGGGGATTGAACCGCGGTCCCTGTGCTTTGCTAAGCTTGTTCTAAGTAGGTGCTTTAGACCACTGAGCCATCTCACCAGCCCAAAAGGTTTTTAATAGAATGAGATTGCAATTGTCTTTGTAATATTTCCTGTGCATTTGAGGTTTTGTTAATAAAGTCTTATCCTACACCTGTGTCTTCAAGAGGTCTGCCTATTCTGTGAGTTTAGTCAAGAAGTTGGGGTGCAGCAGGAGATTCAGGAGACTTACGTGTAAGGTACAGGAGAATTTCAATAATTACTTTGACTATTATAAATGTTTTACATGTATAGCTCAGGAGATACAGAAGAAAAGTTAACATTGGTACATTTTACACTGCTATAGGTTTTGTGCCATGCCTCCTGTGAATATCTGAATAGGGGCATAAGATCTATGAGTATATAACTTACAAAAAAGAAGAATTACCAATGAACATAGTGGGCAGTGGGAGACAGAAGAGTGCTGTGAGAGTGAGTGCTGTTTTGTTCTTTCACAGTTGCCCCCTTTGTACTGTGCATACTATACTTATAGGTGATTCACTGAGCTTTCAGTTTGCAATTTTGAGTATATGCGATTGTATCAGTTATTTAATTTTAAAGAACCTTGGTTTGGCCTAAGATGGCCATCATGAGTGTCAGTATGTGTGTATGTTATATGCACACACGAATACATATATACAAACATGGATTTTAAAAGTATATCACATATATTTGTGATAACAGATAAAAGGGAGAGCAGCATGTTAACTGGTAACTCAAGTTCAAATTTTGAATTTTTCTTCAACAGTTTTTTGTATTTAAGTATTAGTTTTCCAGTAAATATGCATTCAGTAAATGCTTACTGAGCACTTACAGTGCACAAGGCTACTGTGGTAGATAAAAAATAAACACAATACATTACACAATACACAATACATAGATCCATGCTTTTCGTAGGGAAGATAAAACAGGTGCAGAAAGTTTGTGCTTTGTATAACAAAAACCAGAAAATTTTTTATCAGTGAAGATTTATACAAGTGTTATGTAAATTTAAAAGAAAGAGGAGTGACTTCCAATTTCTCTGGAAAAAGAGGTTGAAAAAATGCTTTATGGAGAATATAACATTTGAGCTGAGATTTGAAGGACTGAGACAGTGGATATGGTGGTGGAAGAGCTTTCCAGGCAAAAGGAACAATTGGATGAATAAAAGCATAAAGAATACTGATCATTGAATTTAATTAGAGCATAGAGTTCACAGGTAGCAAAAGGTATTGATCCTTATACCTCCTCTTATTGAGAAGTTTTTGCCCATTGAAAGAAGTTACCAACAAAGTAAAATGACAACACACAAATTTGGAAAAAATCTTCACTAATAAGCAGTCAGACAAAGGTCTGCAATCTAGAAT